CAGGGCGGCACTCCCGCGGGTCTCACTCGGGTGTTTGCACAAGTCCCAGCCTTACCACATGTCCCAGGGCCGGCTTTTCAAACTTCTGGCAGCATGCCTAAGGTTACAAGCAGATACTGTTATACACCGACGATTCTAGAACTTACATGCCACAAAAATGCCGGATGCGCAGAAACCTGTGACAGTAAAAGACGATTTCCAGATCAGAAAAGGAAATTCTGATTGTTTACTGTGACTTAAATAAGAATACTGACAATGCAGTGCAGTTTTTATTAATATGACTTTTCAGTCTGCATTTAATACTACTCTTCTCTCCCTTTCATATATGAAAGGGAAGGCACCAACCTAAGGCCCCTAGAATTCTTCTGCCAGCATTTTGTTTTCGTTCGTCTTCCACCCCGCCCACCCAATCAACTGCCTGTATTCAGAGATTATTTACTTGTCTGTTTTTCTGTTGCTGAAAAACTGAAGTTTTTTGGGGTCTTGCTTAGCAATTTTAAGACCTTAATAATTACAGTTACTTAGCTGATAAACTGTAAATGGGCTTTTTACTGATCTTTGCTGTGCAAGCCCATTACTATAATGAACTTAAAGGTACGTTATTTAAATGTGTGTTTTAGAAGTTCTTGCTCTTGCCTTGACTATTTTAATCTCACTATTCAAGTTGTCAGTCTAGAGTCATCTGTCAATCTCTTATGCAAGCAAGATGATGAAAAATGTTAATTTTGAAGTATTAAAGCAGAACGTGTACTATGAATTACACAATACGGTACAAGTGAGATGTGTATTTCTGTTAGGGTTTACGGATGAGTTTGGTATAGGCCAAATTTCTGTAGCTCTTGATAAGGCACATTTCTTCTGATCTGCAGAAACCTCTTAACCACCATTTCCAGCTTCTTTGACTGGAAAGATAAATCAAAATGATTCTGCAATATGAACAAGTGTGGATCCAAGAAGAAATTTAAAACTTGGTACATTTAACAGTAGTACTCCTTTAAATTCTAGCTGAGAAGATCACCAGGGGAAGTGTGTTTTCCAGGAGGTAAAAGTGAAGCAATTGATAAAGATGAAATTGATACTGCTCTCCGAGAAGCTAAAGAAGAAGTGGGACTCCAGCCAGAGAACGTGGAAGTCATCTGTAGGCTTGTGCCTGGAATTGATAAAGTAAGCAATAAACTGAGTAAGTCAGCATATCATTAGAAAATAAGCTGGGGTTATTTTCTTTTGTAAGGTCGAGAATGACCTTTTCAAACTTGTAACCATAACCACCGCTTCTTAAAGTGAGCAGCCTGTGTTGCCAGTAGAGCAAAGGGAAGAGATTCTTGCTCTGTATTTGGTATTTGCAAGGCTACATTTGGTGTACCATGTCCAGTTATGGACACACTGGAGTACCAGACAGTGCTAAACTGGCGGGAGTTTAGCGGAGAACCAGAAAGATAGTAAGGGGGCTGGAGCACGTGGATTATCAGGAGAGGCTGAGAGAAGTGGGTTTGCTCAGCCTGAAGAAAAGAAAGCTAGCAGGGGATCTAGTTGCTCTCTTCAAGTACCTCCTGGGTGGTTATAGAGAAGTTGATACCAGACTCTTCTTGAGACAGTGGACACAAGCAGCAACAAATGAGATGAGATGCAAGGAAAATACTCTTTACCATGAGGTTAGCTGACCACTGGAACAGATTTTCGTGACACGCTGTATAATCTCCATCCTTGGAGATACACAGAGCTCATCCAGACAAGTCCCTCAGCAGCCTGATGTAACCTCAAAAGTTTTCTCATTCAGTATCCTGAAAAGGGTTAATTCAGGCAGAAAGGGACCTCTGGAGGTTATGTGGACTGTGATTCTGTGTGGAACTCCAGCAAAGAGACTTCTCTTCTGGAGGTGTCTTTGGAGCGTAAGTCACTGCTTGCAAATTAACAGGCTGCCAGTTTCAATAACAATATTCAGTGTTACGTAGGATCAGTTTTCCCATAGTACAGAGAGGCTACTGTTTCAGAAGACTTTATTTTTGTTCTTCAGGTAACAGTTTATTAATACGTCTACTGTTTTTTTTCATATCTGTTAGCCACTTACTGTTAGCAATATCCTCCCTCTATTAAAAAACCAAAATAACTAGTTTTGAAATTGTCTTGCAAAATGCTTTAACTTTGTAAACTATAATTTCTGTACAGATAACATTAAAGCCACATAGTTCAGAGGCTGTATGTAAAAAGGGTCAATTTAGGTTTGAGAAAACTCTTTTCAGTATTTTCCAGTAAATTGCCTCAGTCAATAGAAAAGATCATGTGGTTTTGGACTGCAAAAATTTTACCTGTCGGATTCTACTTTGTCTTCTCTGTACATACATTCCAAGTGGTTCTGACGTGGATGGAATCTCTCCAGACTTGCGTCAAATAGCGCAAATGTTGAGTTCTGCTATTACTGCTTTCTGTTGAACAGTGATGCTTTGTTGGTATGATTAAGTAAAACTAGCAACATACCTTAAAGAATTTTCCTGTCCTCTTTATGCAAGCTACTATTGCATAGATTTTTGCCTCCCTGTGGAAGAAGGGATTATAGTTAAAATAAAAATGTCCATAAATGAGCAGTTCCAAAAAGTATATATTTTATAGCTAAATATACTTTAATTATATTTCTGCATTTATAGGAAAATATTTCTATATCCTAGGAAAATAGATAGAGAGATATGATAAAGCATAGGTGATTTGGAAAATTTGAATTAAAATCAGAACTCACCAAAGGAAATAAGGAAGACTTGTGAGGCAGCATGCATGATTTTTATTTCTGTAGCAGATTGATGAACCTTTTTAACTGCTATGTGATCATACAGGATGAACAGAATATTAGTAAAATCATGTTTAACAAATATAAAAAGAAAATTTAAAATTGATGAAAATATATTTAAAATCAAATATAAATATCTTGCCATTAGAGGGACCAAATTGCATTACAGTTAAGAATATTTCATAGGTTTCTTGTACTCATTTTGTAACATCTGAAATGTTTTTAAAATAAAGAACATTCTTTTACTTGGTACAAAATTAGTGTTTGGGTTTTTTGTTGTTGTTTTTTTTTTTTTTCCTTTTAGATGAATCACTTGGTAACACCAGTTGTAGGATTTATAGAGGATACATTCCAGGCCACTCCCAATCCAGATGAAGTGAGCACTGTTTTTGTTGTGCCATTGGAGTACTTTGTCAAGCCGTTAAATTACAAGACCTTGCCTTATAAAACCTCATCTGGTTACTCAGGTTGGATGCACTGCTTTACATATGATGACCATCAACATAAAATGTCATTCAAGATATGGGGACTTACTGCACACTTTGCTGTATTTCTTGCTCTTGTAATTTTTGGAAAGAAACCTACCTTTGATGTTGATTATGATCTTGACAACTTAATTTTGTCCTCTGAGAATAACTTCATGAATTTATATACGTCCTTATATGAAAGAAAGAAGAGTAATCTATGACAAACTATTTGTTTCAATGTCTCACTTGAATTTCTTCTGAATTGAGAACTTATTAAAATTTATTTTTAAATAATACTTTTAAGTTGACATGCCCTAACTAGATTCATATAATTTTTAATCTGTTTTAGAGCTTCCAAAAGCACGTGGTATTTTTGATAGACTTAATACACAGTTTTGGAAGATCTGTTTCAGTTTCTGCCTTTTTGTGTGTGTGATCTAAGACACTTCCTGTGGTTTGCCTTCTGTATAATGAGATAATACTATTTTATCTGATTTTTTGTCTGTTTGAATTAGAATATGAAAACTTTGGGGGGCCTGTCTGTCTTTTACTGTGTAGCATACTACATATGGACAACATAATGCATACAGTCTTGTGTGGTATCTTTAAGCACTTATGAAATGCATAATAAAAATATAAAAGGTGGCAAGCACTTTCACAATCTTGTTTTGTTTTGATTGGGCTTGTGGAGGGAAGAGGGAGGTTTAATTTTTATTACTCTTGCTCAGTTTAACATTTCTCACAAGGAAATTCTGTAGGCTGTGGAAAACTTATTATACAGGCAACAGTACTGAACTCTGCTCCTCAACGTCTTGTTAGCATCACTCACTCAGCTCCTAGAGGGAGTCATCTTAAGGAACAAACAGTGGAGCTGAGTATTCATGAGGACTAAAATGCTTATCTAGAGTTGAACCTTTACGAGTCAACCTGGCAATGTCAGATACATGGTGTTCTTTGTGCTCTGAAACCTTGTTTCCTCATTGCTGGTGAACTAGAAGCTTATTCATAGTGGTCTGATCTTATTGCCAAATGGTTACGTTTTTAAAAGTACAATTGACTTAGGCTGGATTTGAGATGTAGTTTGCAAGTAAACAAGTTACCAGTCCTTAAAGAGCTGATCTTCTCTGAGTAGCAAGTGTGAGTTGAAAGCATTCAATGTCTCTCAGAATCATGTGCCCTAGTGCTAGTCTTGAATAAGATGAAGAAAAACACTCAGTTGTTCTGGGTGGTTGCACTTTATGCTTACCCCCCTCTGTTCACTAATGGATGCAAATGTGGTAAAAAAGTTGCTGGCAGTTCCTATGAACTGTGCTGTAATTGAGCAGAAGTCAGATTTTTACATTAAGCAGCTTTTGTAGTATACTTGAAGTTGGCTGTGACTTCAGCAAAATGCATCCTTTTTACAAATAAATGTTTCCCAGTTATGGCTTGAATAGCTAATTATGATTTTCTAGGAAACCTAATTCTGAGATACTTTTTTAGCTTCTCATAATTGCATCCATAACATTCTTCAGCTGCTATGCTAGGACAGTAGCTTTCAGGCACTGAAATACCAGCTTGTGTTTGGTTGGTAACTGTAGCACGACCTTTTACTGAAGAAGAGAAAGATGCTGGAGTTGCACTCAGCTGACAGAAGTGTGCCAAAACAAATGAAGGCTAACACCAACGCAAATCTTGCAAGGACTGAGTTTCCCTTTGCCTTCTCTACCTGCTACAACTGTCCAATACTTACTATTTGTCTTCTCCCAGAGATAATTCAGTGGTAGGTATTCTCCTACAGTACTCTGCTTGAAATAGTCTTTATGCTGTGGCATTAAAGAAGTACAAGATTGGCAGTCAGAACACTGGGTTGGAAAAAGCCTCAAGAATTAGCTTAATCTCTTGCCACCTAAAGATGGAATCAGACACATGATACTCTGATACATATCTAATTTTTTCTTAAGCTTCCCTGGACAATCCATTGTAGTCCTTTAGCCATGCTTTACAAAATTTTTAGTTGTAGCAAGGAATACTTGACTTCTTGTCCTGTACATAGCAGAATGGTGAATAGCTCATTTCCTGAGTTGCTTTCTGCACTCCTGAAAACAACATCGCTGTGTCTCCCTAAGGCATCTTTAGACTTAATGAGCGGATTCCCTCAGGTTTTTTTCATCAGTCATGTTTTCTATACATCTCTTGTCATTTTTGTTGCTTTCTAGAATCTTCAGTGAACCTTCCTCCCCTGTTTCCCCTCCCATCAAATATGTGATAATCAAATCTGGTCATAGTATTCCAGTTAACCATTTATTTGGCTTGGAAAGGACAGGATTACTTCACAGCTCCTTTTTATATATCCCACTGTGATTGCTGTTTGTGAAGCAACATAGTAATATTGACCCATATTCCACTTCTTCCACTAAAATTGCCTTATTCTTTTCTGACAACATTGCCAATTGTTCCTATATTTGTATTTATTGCATTCTCTATTTGAACAGTTGATTATTCCTACAAAATGTAGCACTTTGCATTTGTCCTTATTGAATTACATCCTAATTTTTTCAAAACAAATTGTAATGATCTACCGTCATGTTTTTCAGACATTTCCATTTTGCCATTATCCTCCAGTTTAATGACTATATTTTCTGTTTCATTTACAACTTAGAGTAAGCACACTCAGAACAGGTCTCCGTAGAATCCCAATTGGTAATTGCCACTTGGACAATGAACTACCAACTACTGTGTGTGGTTTTCTAACCAGCTGCGTAACATACTACCATTAGTTTCATGTAGACCAACCCTTAGGTTGCACACAGGAACATTAGGCAGGGCTATATCCAAAACTTGAGAATTTATAGTTCTCCCTATATACCAAGGCTGTTACTTGCTCCATTGTAAACGCATTTGTCAAAACCAGTTCATAGGAAAAAGACAACGGTTGCTATATATGTCCTTGTGAATTAAAGTAAAAGCTATTTGTTCTGATATCCTCCCAGGAACTGGAACAATTTGTATGAGTTCTCCAGTACTTTTGTAGGGCATTGTTTGCCTTTTCCCAGCCTCTGTTAGGGAAGAAGATAAAGTTCCCTAAGTTTCAAAGATAATTGCTAATAACATTGAGATTGGTTGTTAAGAGAATGGCTGTCACATTGGGACGTTTCAAAAGATTCAGCCAGCTTAAACATTTTAGCATATCTAAATAGTATCAAACCTTTCATATTCCTACATTAGCTCTTTCGGGGCCTGTGTTAATTATATTTGATATCAGTTGACTTTTTAAGTTAAAAGAAAAAAATACTTTTTTTTTTACTTTTTTTTTTTGTTAGTGTGAAATCCTTGTAGAAGTAGTAGCCACATTTATGAAGAACAGCTTTATTTTTCATTATTAAACACTTGTGAAATTGTTAAAACATTTTTAAAAGCTTCACTTTAAACTCTTCATCATATTATTCATATTCTCAGTGGTTTCTCTCAATGCTAATGTATGCAGGAAAAGTAAACAATTAAAATAAGAACATTGTTAATTAAAACAGAGCAAAGCAATTAGACCTTTGATTAGTAAACAAAACAGGTACCAAGAGACATAATTGCTAACTTACCATCGTCCTCTGTTCCCAGCAGACTTTTTTCTTCATCTCTCAACCAGATCTGGCACAGAAATTGTACAAATTCAAACCTTAGTTTGTTTTTATTTCCCTTTTTTTAAACATTACTGTGTGGAACTTAAAGGAAAGCAACAACAGTTACAGCTGTTGTTCCTTTTAGCAAATGCAAATCTTGTTGATTTTTTCAAATCAACCATTTGAACTAGTTGAAAAACAAAACTTACAGAGGATCAACCAAAAATCCTGGAGTGATTTGCAGTAAAACCACTGGGGCTACATGCTTCACATTATGCATCCTACATAATTTTACTGACATTAGTTTTTAAATTTGCGAAGTACTTTCTTAACTCAAAAGACTCATTCTTTATTTAGCTATCCATCTGGGATTTGAGTGCCCAAAAAACTCCTTTGAGCACAAAAAGAATAGAAAGAAATTTAAGTGCTTGTTACTAAAACTGCAATTCTGCAAGTCCCACATTACTAATGGGAAATTGTTTCCTTGGGCAATCTTCAGATAAATTCTTCCACAGTTCTTGAGGCCAAAACTAGAACATGACTCCCTCCAACCTAAGCAGCCCTCCTTACCAATCCATGTCCTGTTCGTAGTCTCTCTCCTACCTTCAAGAGGTAAGGAGTGGAGAGTGCCCCAAGCAGAGTATTGCGAAGTCTGGCGATACAGGCAATTTTCAGGATACTACCTCTGAAGTATGAGAGAATTGGAAGTGTATAACCCTCACTCCTCCTGGATAAGTGCCCTGCGTAGTTAAATAGTGTGTTAAAGGGAAGTTGCAGCTGCTCTGCGCCTCATGTTTTTAAACGAGAGCGTGACTGTGCCTTGTTTGTGTGAGATCAAACTCATGAAAAGGTGGATCCTCCAGGGACATGAATCTTTCCCTGGGCCTTGGGCTGCAGGGAAGCTGTGTAAACTTAAAAGGGAAAAGATCTAGCAAATGTGCTGTTCTGAGAACATCCTATTGGAAAATGCTGTATTCTGCCCTTAAACTGGGTCATGGCCTAGGAGAGTTAGCTCTCCCTTTTATTGTATACAAAAGTTTATGCTTCTAAAAAAGGCCCTGTTTTTTTGTGCAGTGGGCCAGGTGCTTTGCAGTTTGACACTGCGGTGTTACAGTGCCTCAGTTGCTTTTCAGGTCTGTCTTTAAAGTCATGTAACAAAGCACTTATGAAGATCCGGATGTCCCAGTATTCTGTCTTACTGGTCCTGTGTTATACTTGAATATAATAAAATAGATTTGTATCTACTTTTATTTTTAATATGGTGATTTTAAAGGACTCATTTACTTTGAATTATTGATTACAAATGCATTTATGCTTTATTTGTTTTAAGTACGTTAATATAGCTTCCAATCTGAAAAGGTGTTTTACACATATGTATTTACTCTTCGCACTTTTTCTTACAAACAAATCACCAAGGCCATTGCTCAGTTGAAAAAAGGTGTTGAAAATATATTCCAGATTACATTCTCTAGCTATGGGATAAGTAATGGTAGCATGGCAGTAAAATGAGTGCAAAGGCTTGTATCAGAACAAGAAAATCACTGATGATATAAAATTAACTAAAAATAAGTGACATACAGTTTAATGTGAGTTGTTAGTCATTCTTTTAGTTAATGCGCAGTGATTCAGCA